AAAAATTTTTCAATTATGTTTTCTTCGTCAATTATATTCATCATTATTTTAGGTTCATAATATAGCTCTAATACCAACTTCGGAGTGCGTGCGGAATTATGACATATTTTCTTAGTATTTTCTAAATATTTTATTATATGTTCCATGTTTATTATATGATTTATGAGAAGGATATAAAATCTAATAGTTAGTCTATATCTTAACTTTTTATATGAATTACATATCTTATGGAATTCAGGTTTCCTCATTTATAATTAAAGGACACTTAAATAATATCTAGAGTTAAATCTATCAAAGATTCTGGGCTCATCAGTTTTTTGGACTTAATTGAAGTTTTTATATCTTTATAGTGGCTTTGGTTGCAAATTGTATAAGGGGGTATTTTGGACAGTTCATGTTTTACTATATTAAAGTTTTGGTCAAAGACTATTTTTCCAAATAATCTTTGCAAATAGCCTATTTTACCTAATTTCCTCTTTCTTTTTTAATTATCTCTCATAAATACAATCATGAATAACATTTTGACAGCCTAAAAAAATATTTTACAATTTATTGCATCCTCTTCGCTCACCTTTTTTTTTTTTTTTTATTTCGATTTTGATTTTGATTTTGATTTCGATTTCGATTTCGATCTCGATCCTCGTATATAATTAAACTTAATAGAATTAAAAAGTATTATTTGACCTCGTGAAAGTTATATGTAGTACATAATTGATATCATTGAACTAATTAACCTTTCGTATAAATAATATCTTAACTTTTTTTTTTCTCTCTCATTGTTCAAAGTGATTTTTGATTCATCATCATACCAAGGACGTCCATGGATATACAACAAAGTCAACCCCAAGCTAAAAATTAGATTTTTAATAAGTTTTTATAAAAGGCAATGAAATGTTGTGATAGGAAAATTGTGAATATAATAAATTATGTGATTAAAAATAATTATTGATTTTGACTTGAATTTATATCAAGATTTTAATTCACACGAAAAAGGAATTAAATAGTTAAATATAACATTTTTTTATTTAATACTATTCAAACTGTATATTAACCATACTCAGTTCGCATTAGTATTATTTAGGGAAAATTGCAGAAACGGTATCAAACCTTTCATTTAGCAGCAGATTTTACCCAAATCTTTAAAAAATTCGCACATGGAGTCCAAATGGATGGAAATCATCCATATTGACCGTTAGTTGACTCCATAAAATAATTTTGATCAAATCTAGAAAGGACAAAATTGTAACTTTACAATATTTCCACTTATATAATTAAATAAAAAGAAAGAAAGGAAAAATATAAAAAATGGTTGTCTCCCACCCCACCCACCCCTCCCTTTCCCAACCCCACTCTGAAAGCTAATCGTGCCACCACCACCACCACTCACTGCCGGCACACTACCGATATCATCGCCAACACCACCAGGATTTTCCATATTTGTCTATGTTTTTTATCTTTAATTTTAATGGCTACTATGGTGATGGCATCAAGAAGAGGAACCTGAAACACGGGGAGAAGTCACCAGAAAATTGGCAGACGTTGTGGCTGAAAATCTCTAGGTGTTGATATTCTAGGAAATGGATGCAGATAAAATTTCTTCTCAACAATTGCCGACCCTCTAACCCAGACATTTGCCCTATGTTTCTTCTCCACTTTCCTTACATCCGCTTTCTTTGACGAAGTCTTCTTCTAGACCGAAAATTCAAGGCAACAAAAACCATTTCTTATGTCAAATTTGGCGAAAACAGAATCTAGGTATGGATTAATACGTCCACCCATTTCGATTTTTAGTCCTTTTATTTGAATTATTGAACACAATTGTTGCAATTGAATTCCAATTTCAATTTTTTCCATGACAGATCCTATATGTTAAACCAATGAAGAAGAAAATTCAGAGTGGAAAACTCAAGAAAGATTGGATTTTCAAACTTAATAAATAGAACCTAGAAATTATGTACTGAAAATTTGGGGATGGGGTTTGAGGGCACCCATTGCACCACTTGAATTGTGGTGGTTGTGGCTGTCGTCGACGGCGAAGGTAGTCGTGGTGATGGTTTTGGGGTGTGGTAGGGTGGGTATGTGCGGGTTGGATGGAGAAAAAGAAAGGTAGCTAACAGAAATCATCCATTTGGACTCTAGGTGTGAATTTTTGAAAGGTTTTAGTACCGTGTGTGCCACAAATGAAAAGTTTGGACAAAGTATGCTATTAAATGAAATGTTTGGTACTGTTGTTGCAATTATCTCTATTATTTATTAAAGTTATAATTGAATTAGAATAATAAAGTATCTCGAGAGAGATTCACATAGTTGAACAGTTAAACAAATTAGAAAGTCAGGATTTAAATAAGGGAAAAATTCATAACTAAGAGGTTAAGTTTCACCCATTTCAAATTCAAGAGACAATGTTTAAAATTTTCAAATTTCAGATTTTTTAAGGTT